TCTCGATGATCAACAACACCCAGTCATCTGGGTAAACCTAAAGTCCAGAATCCGTTTTGTTTTCATCTAAGGAAAAAATAAACCACGGTACAGAAACATATTCCGAGTGCCCCTGCAGCACTCGGACTCAACCGAAGGGTCGATCTGTTTGTCCTACGAAATCCCAACCGATTTAGGCGGCTAATGATGTGGTCACCTATTACAGGTAGGGTCGAGGACCCATCATTTGGGACCCACATAGGGCCCATCACCATCATAGGTAGGTCCCTGGACCATGCCAACATTCGGATGCATACATCAGGAGGTTCACTCAGACGGCTCTGTGGCACTCGGACGATCACGTGTCACTCGGCTGATGGACCACCACTCGGACGTAGAGGACATGATGGCGTTGTAGGAGCTGCAACGGTCGAGGAATCCTAAGTCATCCACTAAATAGAGTTATAGCTACCGTTACCTGTAACTGTTGTAGTAGAGGCTCATTACACTAGTAATTGTCTCATTCAATGACATTAATTGCCTCGGCGGCGTGGGAGACATGGGGCTGCAGCGCACTCTATATAAGCCGCACCCCTCTCCATAGCCGGGCACGTTCAATCTCTGTAACCATATCCATCAAATCAAAGCAAGCCTCAAGGCATGAGACGTAGGGATTTTACCTCCGCCGAGAGGGGCCTAAAATCGTTAAACACCGAGTGTTACACCTACGCTGTAGCTAGTCTCTGCCCCTTATTCGTGACCCTAGTACTCATCGTCAGGATCATAACTCCGACACGTGCCGCCTTGACCGGGCATGGATTCACGCGCGGCGTCGATTCACACAGCGATCGCTTGCTTGTGCACGGCACGTGGGCCGCCATCAATCGCTGTTCACATAACTCCCCCTACTCGCCGCTATAAAACCGTCCTACGTCGGTGCGCCGCAGCAATCGCCTTCCATCCCCAATCCTTGCCCTCCCTCGCTCTCCGGTGTTATCCCCCTGTCAATGGTGCTACTTGTGAGCTGCGTTGGGATTTCCCCGAAGAGGAAAGGATGATGCAATATAGTAGAGATAAGTATTTTCCTTAGTTAAGAATCAATGTTATCAATCCTATAGGAGAACCACGCGAAACCTCGTTAGCAGCACCTACACACAAAAGAGCAAATACTTGCATCCAACGCGATCAAGGGGGTTGTCAATCCCCTTGGCGGTTGTTTGCAAGAATCAAATCTGATAGTGATAGATAGGTAAAATAAAACACAAAATAAAATAACGGTAAATAAATTACAGCAAGGTATTTTTGGATTTAATACATGATAAAGGTAGACCCGGGGACCATAGTTTTCACTAGAGGCTCAATTGATAGAAACGCGCATATTTATGACGATATTCAAGTCAATGATCATGTATATAGGCATCACGTTCGAGACAAGTAGACCGACTTCTGCCTGCATCTACTACTATTACTCCACCCATCGACCGCTATCCAGCATGCATCTAGGTTATTAAGTTCATGAAAAACGGAGTAACGCATTAACCAAGATGACATGATGTAGATAAAGTAAACCCAAGCAATATGAATAAACCCCATCATTTTCCCCTTAATGACAACAATACAAATACATGTCATGTCCCCTTCTGTCACTGGATTGAGCACCGCAAGATTGAACCCATTACAAAGCACCTCTCCCATTGCAAGATAAATCAATCTACTTGACCAAACTAAACGGATAGATCAGAGAGGAATACAAAACTATAATAAACATGCATAAAAGAATTCAGAGAAGACTCAATTAATATTCATGAATAATCTGATCATAAACCCACAATTCATCGGATTCCAACAAACACACCACAAAAAAATTACATCGAATAGATCTCCAAGAACATCGAGGAGAACATTGTATTGAAGATTAAAAAGAGAGAAGAAGTCATCTAACTACTAGCTATGGACCCGTAGGTATGTGGTAAACAATTCACACATCATCGGAAGGGCAGCAAGGTTGATGTAGAAGGCCCTTCATGATTGATCCCCCCTCCGGCAGAGTACCGAAAAAGGCCTCCAGATGGGATCACGGAAGAACAGAAACTTGCGGCGACGTATTGGGTGGCTCTCTGATATGTTGGGAATATTTGAGAATTTATAGAGGTGGAATTACGTCAAGAGGTGCCACGAGGGGCCCACAAGGGCGCGCCTACCCCCTGGGACACGCCTCCCGAGCTTGTCGCTCCCTCATGGCTCTTCAGGTCTTCTTCCGAACTTTCTATGATCCCTTCTAGTCCAGGAAAAATTAATCCACAGACTCTATTTGATATTGATTTTCCGAAAAGCCAAAAACAAGCAAAAGACAGCAAGTGACACTGGGCACTAGGTTAATAGGTTAGTCCCCAAAAAATGATATATAATCACATATAAAACATCCAAGATTGATAATATAATAGCATGGAACAATAAAAAATTATAGATACGTTGCAGACGTATTAGACGGGGATGGCATGCCTCAACCTCACGCTCGAGGAGGCGGACGCGCCCGTCCACTACCGCATCCCCGCCGCGCCGAACGTGCGGCTGCCGTCGAGGTGACGCCTCAGCGTCGACGACGTGCTAGTGCCGCCGGTGGGCACCCACCTCTTCACGCGCGCCATTGGGCTGTACCGGGCGGGACTGCCGGCGGAGATGCTGTAGGACCCCCGGTACGCCATCAACATCCTGCACTGGCCAGACCTGCTCGCCAAGGAGCACGAGCTGCGGCCGCCGATGAAGCACAACCGACGGCGCCGCCACGAGCTTTGGGACGGCTGCACCTTTGAGGAGGTGGTCGCCCCGTACCGCGCACAGGCGGCCGCGGGCGCCCTGCCAGCCCCGCCCGGCCCCGACTACCAACTCTTCTGCCGTGACAATGATAATGGGCAACGGGTTTTCGCCTGGGGGCGGTGGCTGGGCAAGCGCTCTATTTTTTTAGTTGTATTGGGTGGGCGGACGTACGACTGGCGGGTATTCTATACGACTTGTGAAATGACCCCTTGCCCTTTATACGTTTTTTGGGTGTGTGTGTGTGGGGAGGGGTTTGTACCAGAGCGCGTCTCATACGTATATTGGTGAAACTGTTGAGTATCATTGTTATTATGAAAACATAGGATAGCGTAGAATTTATTCCACCTTGCCTTGTACTCCAAGACGACCTTGTACTCCTATATATATGCCCACGAGGCTCAAACAATACAACAACGATTTCCACCAAACCCCTCTCTCCCTTCTAACAGAAACCAACTCTTTTACGTGCAGTTTGCGTACAGCCGAAAAGTACTCGGCCGGCTCGACAACAGCAGAAGTGCTCTCGACAGAAAGAACTCGTTTAATGAGGGACCTGGGCCAACAACCACAGCCGATGAGCTCCAAAGTAAAGTCCTGCCAAAGGAATGAAGAAGCAAGGTACATGTGAATTTGCCATCGAAACTTGATTCACAAATGATCTGATTGCTCTTTGTTCGAAAAACAAACATGTTCTGATTGCTCTTTGTTAGAAAGGAGAGAGGGATTTGGTGAATAGTTCGATGTATTGCTTGAGCCTCGTGGGCATATATATAGGAGTACATGATCTATTTGGAGTACAAAGCAAGCCAGAATAGTTACTAGTCTAACCCATGTTTTCTAATACAATCACATTACTCAACACTCTTTGTTGAAAAACAAACATTTTCTGATTGCTGGCCATGAGGGTTAACTTGTCGTATAAACTATAAAGAAACATGATTCATATCATCAGATGTTAAATTAGTCAACCACTTCCTGTTTATATCAATTAATTAAAGAGACTTGAATCTGAGAAGGAGCATTGATTACCGAATTATCGTTTCAGATAACAATGACTACTTTTTGTTGTAATTTTACATTGCGAGTGACGCCTGCTTTGGACATATTTCTCTTTCGGTTTGAAAAAATCTTGCCCCCTAGTTGCTGGTCACGCTCCGCCACTGCCAACATGGGAGACCGGGATAAGAGCATCTTCCCCGTATTCTATTCCGGAGCCGCCATTTCCCCAGCAGTGCGCCATGCCTTGGAACGCCTTGCAAGCAACGACAAGCAGGCAAGGCTCGGGCTCCCCCCACGTCCACGCACCCCCACCTCCCGTGCACGTCTCCCTCCCGCTCAC